TCATACCAGATACCTTGTGTAGTCCATCTCTGTTGGCTTTAGTAACTGTTTCTAAACACACCTTTTTGTCCTCTTTTTAACTTTAAAGGAATGTGGGAATCTAGCATCACAGTGCATATAAACACTGAGCTACATTCCTTTCATCCTCAGTTTCTCACAAAGTTCCAACAGTTCTCTAGTTGAAGCAGTTTGTGTGCAAAGCCTGCATTTAAATACTTGAGTTCATAAGTTTAATTGCTCAGTACCAGAGGTGGCAAATCTCATGTGATAGTGGACTCCTGGCTCATCAACTCATGCCCTCTTCCATACCTTCATGGCTTCACAGTCAAGGTCAGCAGGAAGCTCATTGGGCACCTTCATGGTGACCTCGCCATTATTCTGTCTCTCTTGGAACCATTTTCAGTTTATTTACTATGCAATAGACAGTCGTTGTTTGTACTCAGCTAGCTTTGGTTTAATGACCACGGCTTTGTCTTTCTGTTACACACGTGGTGATTCTGATTTATTTACAATATATGCTGTGCCATTTTGAATTTTATTTTGTTTGTTTGGTTGAATAAATTTGCGACACTCAGAACACTTGAGGTGATAGTTTAAAAAAAAACAGTACCAGTATTTGATCCAGTCTCATCTCAGCCATGTTATACCTGGACATTTTAGATGTTTATCAAAAGGTCTTTTATGGGGAAGAAAGTAAATCTGTAAACAGTAGACGTGTGACGTTTATGAGTAACGCTGGCTCTGAACAAACTTCTGAAAACTTAGTTGACAATGTTTTGTGTCAACTGATAAAAGCATGACTTTTGGAATCTCTGAATGCCTTGGTTCTCAGTATTATCACTCTATTGAATTTTTTTCTTATTAAAATATGTAGTTTTTAAGACTTTTTTCCTGACAGTATTATGTAATTTTTTAGCCTGGGTAGATGGGAGTGTCGCTGGTATGTTACCATACAGCTGACATGTATTTTTTGTCTATTCTTTATTATCTTAGTAGTTTCATGCTATGTATGTACCATAACCAACCTATTGCCTATGAGAAACATGTAAGATAATGTATTTACAGCCATTGTTACAAGTTTATAATGTATTTTTCTATCTTGTTTTATATGTATGTTATATAACATTCAGAAGAATTTTTTTCTTGATTGAGAAAAGGATACAAAATGCAAAATCCACAATTTTGATAACTGAAAATTGCCAATTGTTTTGCAGTACTTTATTATATTGGGTGTCTTGTCTTTCTTGGGCTTTTAGTTAGCTGATGAATGAATACATTAGACACTTCTGGGTTTTAGTTGGGATTTTACATAGCTTGCATTTTAATTCTTTTGTTCTTTGCTGTTTCTATTAACCCATAGCATTATTTTAATAAATGTTATAATATCAACCTACTAACTCTGGACTATGTCTGTTTATTAACCTTTACATGTTTAATGAAGAAAAAAAAACAGATAAATGAAGTCTCAAGTTCCTGGACTAACGTTGAAGAACATGACCACAGATAACATAGGGTGACTTGTTTTCTGTGTTGTCTGTCAGCTGACAGTTGTGCACACTACTGCTAAAAGCTTTTGGGTGTTCTGGCCTTTTACCTCGGAGGGTAGGTGCAGTGGAGATGGGAACAAAGTGGTATCTGTTTGAGTCATTCTCATTATGGCACTGGCCTTTCTGCATCTACATTACTAATTGCACACTTTTATTTTTCCTGCTCCACAATAATCCCTGTCTGCTGACAACACAAAGAGTAAACAAAGGTTTACCTTGATGATCACCTTGAGAAACCAGTCTGATTCCTTGTTGAACCATTTCTACGAACAGGTCATTTTCAGTCCCTTCATAATTTAATATTTTCCCTGTGTTGTTAGCCAGCTGCTTTTATTAAAGCTAGTCTGTTTCTGGGCAGTGCTGCCAGTCTCGTCCACCCCCTCTCATCCCCATCTTCAGTGTGTTACGGATCTCTCTCAGGTGGCTTTTTTCCTCTTAGTCACTTTCAGAACAGCCTAGACAATTACACAAGAGGTGCAGTAGAAGCGAACACTGTAATCTGATGTGTGTTGTTCATTTCTAGCATAGACATACATTTAGGATTTGGGTTTGTTCTGTGTAGAAGGACCTCTGAGTATAACTTCTTTTAACATTTCAGTCTGTATGTTGTTCACAGATTTCCTGCATGAAAAAAAATCCTTTAACATTTAAAAAAAAATCACTCTTAGAATGAGTTTTGTTTTTTTTTTATAAATTATGCTTTACATTTTGAAATTATATTTTAGAGTCCTTAAAATTAGGAGCTGAATTATAGGATAACTTTGTGAAAGCATACTGTTAAAATATTTGTGCATATGTGAAGCTTAGAATAGCAAGACTAGTTTAATAAAACCATTGATCACTTTTGACCCTGTCCACATGTGGAATAATCTCTAATTAGAGGAGGAGGCTTTGTAGTACCATTGGATATGCAGGTTGCATTGCCATAACCATGTGTGTAGTGCTGTATGAAAATTTGAGTATGCTGTCAGGCTGCTGCCCAAATTTTCATGGTATTTGGCACAACAGTCGATGAGGAACTTCTGTGCTGTTAATATTCTCTGAAGCCTCAGTATGCAGTGAAGATACTTCATGTATGGTTGTGTCTTATTACCACTGTTCCTACTGAAAATGTTGTTCAGAGACAGTCTCACATGATGCAAATAGCATTGCAAGTCACATTTTTATATTGCATAGTATTAAACAGCTGTATTGCTGGGGTGGGGGAACTTTTAGAGTCACTTTATTGTTTGATGCTATTTGATGAAATTATTACATATGTGTTTTCAAAAGGCTGTTGATATTAATGTTCTTAGTAAAGCATTTTTCTTTTTCATTGGGTAAAATATCTAGGAAAACATGAAAATTACATTCACATCATTGTAGTGCACCATCTTCATGTATGGCAGTGCCCATGTGAGGGAGTTGTTAAAGCCCCTAAAAAATGATGTTTGTATGCACACAATAGAGGTGTTTGGCGAAAGGGTGTGTGTGTGTGTGTGTTTTGCAGGGAGGGGTTTGTGTGACTGGAAGGGGATGCCTGTCTAATCCTTGATGACAGCTAACTGGTACAGCATTCTTGGCCTCTGATTTTTTTTTTTCCCTGTCAGAATGGAACATGTTACCAAATTATGCATTAATTAAGCTAAATTTATTCTCTGAAAACTTGTTGGACCTCCCACATTTTTAAGTGTATAGGATAATATTGATGTGGGAGTGTCATATATCAATCTGTTGATTTCATTGGCTGAGCAATAAAAGAAACTGCTTGGCTGGCCCTTAGCTTAGAGCATAGATGGGAGGAGGAAACAGAATAGAATTCTGGGCGGAAGAGGAAGTGAGGTCAGACTCTGCTCTGCTCCTGGAGACCAGACAACTCTGCTCTCTGGAGCAGAGACACCATGATGGACGGAGGCTAGAATCTTCCCGGTAAGCGCACCTTGGGGTGCTTACACAGATGATTAGAAATGGGCTAAATTAATATGTGAGAATTAGCCTAGAAGAGGCTAGATAGAAATGGGTCAAGCAGTTAAATGAATACAGTTTGTGTGTTGTTATTTCGGGCATGAGCTAGCCAAGCGGCCGGGGTGTTGGGGACGCAGCCCCGCCGCCGCTCCTATTTCAACAGATGGCGCCCAAACGTGAGGCTAACTGAATCCACAAAAAGCCTGAGAAAGCTTGGGAAAGAATGGAGTGAAGCATGTTTTCTTGGTAGCACAAATTTCTTGGGTCTACTCTGCTTGCTAGAGGCAAGCAAGCGCTCTCATCTAAGAGAGGCTTCCTGACTCAGCTTCAGCTGCAAAACCCTGCAGCTCATTAAGAGGTCCTGCCACGAAACACTTAAACGGTGTTGGTGAAAAGCTGAACGCATGCTTTTCGGTTTTCAGCCGTAGCAGGAAAAAAGCTGTGCTGTTTAAAAATGCCGGCTTTCTGGGCCGTCCTGCCAGGGCAAACTCTGACTGAGGCAGGAGGGCCAACTACCGAGAGAGGACTTGACTGTTGTCTGTTGTAGCTCGCTGGCTGGCAGGGACCTTGAAACGCCATAGAATTGTGGCTATAAACATGGCTACAGCCTGTATCTCCGCCATGAGGCTGGAAAGCTAAGGAATGGACTGGATCTAGCTGGCAAAGCCACGGCTTTAATCCTACTCATATTGCTCAGTAATTTAAAGGCTCGTGTGGTCAGAAAAAGAGAGATATACAGTAAAGAGATTCAAAGATAAAGAAAATGTTTAAATGATTTACAGTGTGTTAAAAATATATGCAAGCTAAAAGTTAAAAGTTTTTAAAAAAAAAGTAAGAAAAAGAGAAGTTGTGTGTGGTAGTACACGCCTTTAATCCCAACACTTGGGAGGCAGAGGGAGATTGACCTCTGTGACTTCAAGGTGTGGTAGCACACGCCTTTAATCCCAGTGCCTAGAAGGCAGAGACAAACAGATCTCTGTGAGTTCAAGGTGTGGTAGCAAACACCTTTAATCCCAATGCCTGGGAGGCAGAGACAGGCGGATCTCTGAGAGTTCAAGGAGAGCCTGGTCTACAGAGTTATTCCAGGTCAAAGAGATACAGAGAATATAAAATAAAAGTAAAAATAAACGAAATAGAGGTTAAAATAAAGCGTACAAAGATGGAAAATACACAGAGAATCTTGATACTGTATACTATTATGCTCTCTTTGAATTGTTTGAATGCTGAGGAAGGAGCAACAGATGCTAAAAGATATTTGTTTATAAATGCTGCTGAACTAATCCATCGTAGAGATTTTGATGCCTTGACTTTGAAATTTGGATCTAAGGACATGATACTTTGGAAAGGAGTTTCTTATTTTGTTTTCACAGAGGATGAGACCCTGTTCATTTCTTCTATTCCGATATGGTATGATGGACCACGCCCTCCTGAACGGTTGCTGTGAATACCTTCAGAAAATTGCTTCGCTCAACTGCCAACTGAGATGAAACTAGCACACAGGTTATACCATGAAAGACCTAATTAACGACGCCCCCATTCAGCAGGAAGCAGTTTGGAGAGAAAAAACTGCGCCCATGTTCCCAAATATTGTTTATAAATGTTCTTTTACATTTAAAGGGGGAGATGATATAGGTATGAATAATTTACATTGATATGGATTTTGCTTTAGTGATTTAAATTTAAGGTTAATTTTGTAATGTATATAGGTTGTTAATGAATAATCATTAATAATAGTTAAGTTTGTAGTCATGTTAGTTAAGATTTTCTAGATGTGCATAGATATATTTTAGATAGGCATTCTTCATATTTTTCAAAGATTATAGAATATGGCATTTTAAATGTTTTAATAACTTAGGACTTTTCATGACAATGAGACACTCTGCTCCTGGCAGCACCAATCTACTTCAAGAGGAAGATGGGCATCGAAGAGGATCCTTATGGAGTTTGATAGCCATTTGGGCAAGAAACTGCTCTTGCCTGGACTATTGCATAAACTGGACACAGAGAACCCGCAGAGAGAGGACTGCTGAACTTGCCTAAAGGTGAGATGATCTTTCGGGGTTCCTGATTCATGAAAGAGTCTGCAAGACATTCTTCAGGACAAGCAGATAGTGACTGCCTTTGAAAGTTCCTGCTTTGTGGAAATGTCTGCTGGAAACTATGGGCCTCTAGGCTGAAGATGGATGCCCCAACGGTACAGAGGAACTTTGGGTGACTGTCCAGGCAGTGAGATGTCTCTGTCATTTCTAGAGTTTGAGAGTTTGCTTATTTCTTATTTGTTTAGGTAATATTGTATCTTTCTGGACTGTTTGATGGAGTTAAGAATAGTTAGCTATAGTTATAGTTTTTCTTAGTTATGATATAGATTATTGTAATTTTTACTTGATAACTGTTTTGTTATATGTAATTTTGCTATGTTAAGTTAAAGCCTTTTTTTTTTTGTTTAAACAGAAAAAGGGGAAGTGATGTGGGAGTGTCATATATCAATCTGTTGATTTCATTGGTTAAGTTATAATAAACCAGCTGCTTGGCCTCAAGCCTGGAACATAGATGGGAGGAGTAAACAGAATAGAATTCTGGGCGGAAGAGGAAGTGAGGTCAGACTCTGCTCTGCTTCCAGAGGGACCGAACAGCTCTGCTCTCTGGAGCAGAGACACCATGATGGACGGAGGCTAGAATCTTCCCGGTAAGCGCACCTTGGGGTGCTTACACAGATGATTAGAAATGGGCTAAATTAATATGTGAGAATTAGCCTAGAAGAGGCTAGATAGAAATGGGTCAAGCAGTTAAATGAATACAGTTTGTGTGTTGTTATTTCGGGCATGAGCTAGCCAAGCGGCCGGGGTGTTGGGGACGCAGCCCCGCCGCTCGTATTTCAACATAATATTATATTTTGTTACAAAGCATTTAATACCTTTAAAGTGGGAATAATAGCTTAATCCATTTTATAGACAGTATCATTTAACCACATATATTTAATGATTGGTTTCTTCTACATAAAATTACCTAAATTGAGTTGTCTTTATTTTGAAGGGACTTGAAAAAAGTATCTATAGCTGATGTTCAATGCTGAATCAAACTGGTTAATCTGAAACACCATACACTCCTTTCTTTGTGTCTGTTGCACTAATTGTCAGGGATTGGGAGAGCAGCAGCAGCAGCTAATCCATGGTTGATAGTTGTGGGCAATGGTTCCTGTGAATAGTGACTGGATAATGTGCAGTTCACATTCCTTGAAGTTTGCTGCCCCTTGAGTCACTTGACAAGCCCCTAGGGTAAACATTACTTTATATCTCTTTAAAGGTTCTATTATTACAAAGTTTTGAGTCAATTATAACTATTGCGAGGTATATTATGTTGGAAATTGTAATTGTATGTGTCTATAGATATATGTTAATAGACATATTCTGTGTGTGTGTATATATGAATAGACGTTCCCAAGTCACACTTAAATGGGAAACTGCAAACTGTACATGAGGTTCAATAAAAACTGGACAGCGTGCATTGTTGCATCTTGTCAAGCCAAAAAAAAAAAGGTGAGCTGAAAATGTGGCAGATCCCCTTCCTCCCCCCGCCCCCCACACAGAAATACCAACGTAGGGAGCACATTTATGTTTTTATTGATCCTTTAAATGGTGCTTAGAAAATTCAAGAATCTCACATCATAGTTCTAGTTCTTAATAGATCACTTTTTAAAAGAAGGAAATCTATAAACTACTCTGTGCTCCTTGGCTGGTCCTGTGCATCCAAAACACCATGGTAGTCCTTAGTAAACATTAATACAGTTTCTAGGTCGTTTTCTACATGTAAGGATTTTTTGGAAGAGGGCTGAGGACGTAGCTCAGTTTGTAGATCTAAGTTGCCAGCTTAGATGCATGCTTAGCACCATAAAGAAAGCATTGTTTACCAAATCTTGGTGTCATCTATTATTGTGTTTAAAGGATTAATATCATAGGTATCTTGAACAAAGTAGAAGAATTGCTAAGATTTCTCCCAGTAGCTTGAAACCATTAAAAGTTTTCTTTTGACATCTACATTTTGCATCTCTCCATACTTTAAGGTAACCAATTTTTCTTGTTACACCTTTAAGTTCTTTTGCCTTCTATCTGCTCAGTCACTGAGATGGTATCCTTTTCAGACATCAGCAGCCTTGGCACCAGGTATATAGACTGGCAGCCCTGCTGGTTTGATGACTTAGGAGGCATTAAAATCTAAAGATTAGATTTTCACCAGTTCTTCTCTTCAAAGTTCATATTTTCACAGTAGTAGTAAGCTAAAAAATATATTCCTTGTTTTCCTTATCTCAAAAACACATCTCTTGTTAACCCCACCACCACTTCTTAGGGCACCTAGAGACACACGGACTGTCTGCCCAGGTACAGAAATAAGATTTGTATCTTTAGACACTACCCTGCCTTCTCAAAAAGGGGGTCATGCCATACAGATCTTAATGCCTTCCTCCTGAGAGAAAAATCAGATGAATGTGATCTGTGAATTGGTTGAAACTACCCACTGGGAGGTGACTCAGCAGGTAAAATGCTTGGCCTGCAGTCCTTACAACCTGGATTTGAGAGAACCAAAAGCTGTCTTCTAACCACAGCGTGTCTGCCATGGCATGCAAAGCTCACACAATAAAGTATTTTAAAAACCACTGTCGTTCATAAAATTTTTATTTCTTACAGTGAAGAGTATACTAGGAGCTGGGTGGCCTTTAGGGATTTTTGTAATTACAGGTTTTAAAATAACTAGTCTGGTTAGGAAACTGGATGGATAGACTGATTTCATCTAAGTGGATCAGTTCTCTTGGGGTGAGAATGTTTTCCTAATTTATGCCCTGCTTACATATTGGTTACTTCATTGGATACTGATTAAAACAATAGGTGAGCTGAATGGGAACAAAATGAGGAAAACTTTCACAGGTTAAGTTTTCTTGCAGGACTGAGTTAATCCTAAAGTTTTCAGGATCATTTCAAACTTGTGTGGATGTTGGTAATGAATGCAGCAATTTTGGGTATACTTGAAGCGTTTGGCAAACATTCTTGTGCTGTAGAATTCTAAGTAATGCAGCCTATAAAACTGAAAACAGGTTAGTGGAAAGAGTTGATTAGAACATATTTTAAGCAGATGTCCAAATTTTAAAGTAAGTTTGAGGATTTCAGGTGGGAAATGTAAAGCCCGAAATTAGTGGGTGAAGTGTAACGTGAAAGATAGGAAGCTGAAATTTAAACTGGTCTCCTTGGCTGATACATAACTCAGCAGGAGAAGGCACTCAGCACCCAGGCTTAAACCCTGATGGTAGGAGAGTACTTGGCTCCCCCAAAGCTGTCCTTTGATTTCTACACGCATGCTGTGGCATGCACACACACAAATGAACCAGTATCTCAGAAAAAAAAAAAAAAAACTAGATCAGTGATTTGAACAGCCTGAGTTTCACTGAATTAGTAGTCAGCCTTTAGGTTTTTGTTACTATCAGAACAATTTTAAAAAGAATAAAAATAAAATGTAGTATATCTAGAAGTGCCCTGCCATCAGTAAGATTTAGTAGTTTAAGATATTACTCCCACATTGTTCTTGGTTTCTAATTCAAGCAGCATGGTTTGGGGGGAGGGGGATGAAGTTCTTGCTTTAAGTTTTGTGTTCTGTTCTCCAAAGAGGCATGCTTTTTATGCCTTCTCAGTCACTGGTGGGCACAGTTCCATTAATCAGGTAGTGTTATGTACATTGGCAGCTGATTTGAGAGCCATTTCTTTATATGTTGAAGCCTCAGTGTATATCAGACCAACTTCCACACTCACAAAGCTCTTCTGTCCAAACTTTCTCCAAACGGAATAGTCCAGTTTCCACAGAACTGACGTTACTGTTGAAACTTGACATCCAGTCAGATGGAGTCCCAGCCTAAACCTGGCTTAGGTAGCTCAGAAGTCATTTATACGAATGATGGCTAGGGCAGTCATGCCTCATCCCCTAAAACACATTTGTAGCTGACTTGGAGTGGTAAACCTATGCCCAGAAGTTCAATAGTAAATGTGTGTTTTCTGATGTCTTTGTTGCCAAGTGAGAGTCCTGTGCTGTTTTTGCAATAACTAGAATCACTTGATTCCAGCGTACTTTCTATTAGAAGCCATTAGGAAATCTAGACAGGAGTATTCAAATGACTAGACATGAACAGCATGGCTGGAAGTGTATTCTCAGCATGAGGTGCCCAAAGGGCAGATGCAAGGACCATGGTGGGTGGCATTGCTGAGCTGCTCTCAGGAATCCTCCTAGTTCTTCTGTAAGGAAGAGTTGGGCCTTACAGAAGGACTGCCTCACCCTTAATATTGTGGTCTGTGTGTCCCTGTCACCTTCTCTGTCTGAGGCTTGCTGTTCTCCTTTGGATCTAAAGAAAGACAAGTGAGTGCCACCTTTAGGACTTTGTCCATGTTTATATTCCACCTGGCACTTTTTGGTGATGTGAGTATTGTTTTAAGGGTTAGCTCAACAACCACTCACCCCTATGGTTTAAATGAACAAGGGATTTGTATGATGACTGTCCGAGTTTAAGTTAACCAGGAGCTGACAGCAGCCTCCAGAACTCTGGCAAACGCAACCTGGAGAAGGAAAGGTTTGCTGTTGCTTCTGCTTCAGGTCCAGTCCAGCATGGCTGGGAAGTGCAGCAGGACCATGAAGCAGCTGGTCACAGTGTCACATTCAGGCCCCATTCTGAAACAGGAATGAATGATGCTGTCTGACCCTTTCTTTTTAAATCAGTCCAGGACTCCAGCTCTTGTAATGGTGCTGCCAGCACTCAAGAGTGGACCTCAGTTAACCTGATCTAGAAAGTCCCTCACATGTTCAGAGGTTTGCCACAAGGGTGATCCAGAGCCCATCGAGTTGACAGCCACCACACCCCACTGTTTACCCCATTCTACGCTTCGCAACAGTTCTGTCTAGAGACAAACATGGAGCTATAGAAAGAAGAGGTGGTTCTTGTCCAATAACAGCTATTGTCCCTTCTATTTGGAGGACTGAGGTCATGAGTCTGCCAAGCCAAGATAGTAATTTTCAAGTTCATGTATTTATTGTTTGCAGTGTCGGACATAGAACCTAGGGCCTTGAGTGTTCTGGTAGAGCTCACAGCTACAGCCCCAAACTTGTCAGTCACTTAGAATTTGCAGCTCGAACTGTACATACTTAACAATGTTCACTGGTATCCCTCTGAATACTTTCAGAGTCCTAATTTGTCTGTACTTAGAAGTATTAGTCTGTTAACTGGTGATTCTGGACATGTAACCACAACTTCAAGCTTCATAAAGGCTGGGGAAGACAGCTCAGTAAATATAGTGATTGCCACACAAGTGTGGGACCAGAATGCAAATCCCTAACCCCCAAGTGTGTAAATGCCAGGTGGGTGAGACCTGCAACCCTAGCATCTGGGAGGCAGAGATGGGTCTCTGGAACAAGCTGACTAGCTAGAATACCCAAATCAGTGAGCTCTAGTTTCAAGTGAAAGACCCTGCTTCAACATGTAAGGTAGAGATCAAAGGCAGCTCATGTCAACCTCAGACAACTACATGCATGTACACAAAATATGCGTGTATGCATGTTCACATTCAGGAGGCATGTGTATACATTGGGGTAGACACCACATTTGTACATGGGGAAAAACCCTTAGATGTCTCATCTGTAAAATAGATGCAATTCCTGCCTTATAGGGCTCCTAAGAGTAGATTACATGAGATCATTGATATGACCCTCTTAACGTTGCCCAGCACCGAGGTCTGATAGTGAGCATATGCCCTTGCTGTTTGGTTCTATTTCCTAGTGCTGTCTTGAAGACATGCATTTAAAGTAAAGTCACTGTAGGGGACGGAGATCATGTCCCACATTCACTTCACTTGTGAATAAACATGCCTTCCTAAGACATGCAAGCATTCAGAGGGGCTCTGAGCCATATGCCACAGGTCAAGTAACTACGTATGACATGTTTTGTGTGTAATTCATTGATACATACTGCAACTAAGCTGAAGCTTTCAAGTAAAATCTAGCAGAACTCCCACATATAAAACTGTGATTGCCTTAGAAATTAGTGTGATTATTTAGCATATTTACATCTTCTCATTTGTTCATGAAATAACATGAAAATGAAGTAAGACGTAGATAGACATCACCCCCAGTAGTTACACTCTATATGGCAGCCTACTGCCTTCGACCTCCCGCCAACAGCCAAGAACATTTGTAGAAGTGCATTTCAAAAGGAAGAGCCATGTCCATAGCTAGTCCTCTGCTTGCTTGCTAAGTGACTGTGGGCACGGCCTCCAAACCATCACCATGGTTCCTAACACGCTTCTTCAGTGGCAACTGGAAGTTGTAAATGCCAACATTAAAGAAACCCAGGTTAAAATAAAATGAACAGATGAAGACATGTTCCCTGAATCCAGAGAAGGCTACCTACCAAGAAAGACCTCATTGTCTCTTTGCCCATAAGAACACACTCTTGATTTGTCAAGAATGATGGCTGCGACTTTCTGCAGTCAGCTTTGCATGCATCCCAGAGGCGACCCTCTCCTGAGATGGACTTAACAGTGAAGTGCTGGGTTAGTCCTCCTGTCGCTTTGAACAGAGGATAAACAGTCCCATCTGCACTCTCCTCCCCTGTGGCTCTTCATTGAAAAGTCTTGCTTCGGTGTCACCATGGATATTAGACCAGGATGCATACCTTAAAAGTTCTGAGTCTTTGAAAGCACCATATGCCTGTTTCGGGGCAGTCATGCACAGAGCAGGCAAGCACCTCTAATGGATCTGTGGTGTTGCCTGTGTGAGCAGTTTTGCTTGGCAAGGAGACTAGCTCCTTTGAACAACTCTACAGGAAAAGAGAAACACTCTGGAACACTGAATAGGCTTTTGAAGATTTCAGAAAACCATGTAGAAGGGAGACTAGAAGATCCGTGCTGAGGTTGGGGCCCAGGGGAGGCAAAGACTGAGAGATGAGTAGACTCAGTGAATCCTCTTGCTGGGCCACAGGAACAGGATGTGAAGCTTCTGGTGT